AAATGAATTTTTAAACTCTGCGTGCAAGTTGAGCGCGCGACGTACAATCCGAATTTTGCTAGTTTAAGTAGGAGTGTTTTTTTAAAGTTAGTTTTTAATTTGTTTTTTTTATTTTATAACATATCTATTACAATTAATACTTTAAAATAATAATACTGATAATATAATTATTATTTTCTTATATATATTCAGTTTATGTTTTTCGTTGAGATTTAGTTGTTTACTTATTTTTTGTTATTCGTCCATTTTTATTTCAACTAAACGTCAACGAGCAACAAAATCTGACGAAAAAACCAAATCTAAGAAAACTGGTGAACCTCAACGAAAAAGAAAATCTCCGCGAACGACAAAATCTGGACGAATAACAAAAAATAAGTAAACAACTAAATCTCAACGAAAAACATAAACTGAATATATATAAGAAAATAATAATTATATTATCAGTATTATTATTTTAAAGTATTAATTGTAATAGATATGTTATAAAATAAAAAAACAAATTAAAAACTAACTTTAAAAAAACACTCCTACTTAAACTAGCAAAATTCGGATTGTACGTCGCGCGCTCAACTTGCACGCAGATTTTAAAAATTCATTTTCACCCATTAAACTCATTAGGCCCACTCCAAAACTTTGTGCAAACGTTTTTTATTATTTTCAGGTATCTAATGAAAAAAAAAATTAAAAAAAAAATGTCCAAATTAAAAAAAAATGAATTTGTTTATAAAAAATTATTATTTTTTTAATAAAAATTCAAAAATAATTTTTTTTTTGACATTATTAAAAAGTCGACAAAAAATCGAAACTTTTTTCTCTTAATGAAATTTTTCTAAATTCAATAGTTTTCAAGTTGTAGGTCGTTGAAAATAGGTCTACTTTTCAAAAACCAAAATTTTGAAAATTCATAACTCAAAAATTTGGGCACCAAAAAAAAAAAAATACGTATACGTTTTTTTACTATGAAGAATGAAAAAAAAATAGTTTTGGACGAATTTAAAATTTGAACTAAAATCTGACGTGGAATCACCCACATATATCACTTTTGTATATTTAAACATTGGAATATTTGTTGCATCCTGCTTATACACATGAGACCCTTGACTCCCCTGCAAAATTACCCAGCAGTCTATGCTAAATTTCTAATTACAATTTTTACTTTCGTTTACATTTTGAATAAAGGCTTTAATAAATAATAACTGAAAGCAATATTTTTTAAGTTATAAAGATGTCGGAGTCCAGGTCAGATGTATTATAGACAATAGTTTTTAACTTTTCAGATTTAATAAAGTTTGTATTTCAAATTACATCAAAATCAACGTTGTGCTACTATAATTTCAACAATTACATTAATATTAAAAAGAGGCTTGTTTATAATTTAAGGATTATAGTTCACAAGGACTATTGGTAACGGTTCGTACTCTACAATATCCTATTGCCCATCCTAATTGTGTATAACAAAATCCTGTACAACAATAGGTTAACATGGTTACACTGCTCAAGTAGCACGGAATATTGCTTGAATGTCAAGGTGATATCAAGTGCAAATATTCCTGTGCCATTCAGGCGATATCATAATGTCCTCTTTACGGGATCATTCCACGGTGATATTCCTGTGACATTCGTATGATACCGAGGGAATATTCTCGTGAAATTTGTGTGGTTTGCGGGAAAATCCCTGTGATATTAAGTTGAATATTCCTCTGATATTAAGGGAATATCCGTTTCATATTCAGAGAATATTCCTGTAATTTATATAATTCTAAAATGTTATTTGTTTTAATTGTTTTGAATATTTAAATAAAAAAATAAATAAATGGAAAAAAAAGGAAATTTTTATTTAGAATTTTATAAATTATCTCATCAATATCACTGGAATATTCCCTCAATATCAAAGGAATATTACCTCAATATCACAGTAATATTTCACTCAATATCACAAGGATATTCCCTCAACATCACACAAATTTCATAGAAGTATTCCCACTTGATATCTCCGTCCCACACAGAACATGAGATTTCCTAAATATTTCTGAAATATTTCATTGAAATTTTGAAATATTCCAATGCGAAGTCCTTGAAATATTGCTGAAATTAGGGAAATGTCCGCCTATAAGAAATATTGCCGTGTAATTTTGCTGAAATATTTCATTAAAATATTGTAGAAAATTTCCAACTTAAATGATGCGCACTGGTCGATCTCAGTTTCTATGGCCTGTACAGCTGCGCAGTAGTTTTTAATTTTCTAGGATCCTAAGCTGTTGAACATATTAGAAAATAACGATTGATAACATATTTTAAAAAAGTTTCTAACTTTCTTTGAAATATTTCCTGAATATTGCAGAATCTTCATGTGTAATATTGCAGGAGTCTTAAAGTGTAATATTTCAGCAAAATTGTACGGCAATATTTCTTATAGGCGGACATTTTCCTGTTGTCATAAACATTTCATGAACCTTGCATTGAAATATTTCAAATCTTTCAATGAAATATTCATGAAATGTTTAGGAAATATAATGTGCTGTGTGGGGTGACATTTAACCAATACTCCGTGCTACATGGGTGTGTTACAAAAAAATGGTGATGTGGTGTTTATTTAATATTTATATGTTGCGTTTATTGAAAGTTTTTGTCTCACTGAACAAGAATATACAAAAAAAAAAAATTTCTTTCTGTCAGTTCCATAAAAAACGTGATTAAAGTTTCAAAAAATCGCTTTTTCAGCATATTTTCAAGCACTATACTCTCTTAATTTGAAAACCTAACATGATAAAAATTCTACGAGGGCTTAAATGAAAGTTTAAACTTTCAAATAATAATTTTTTTTTATTTATACAAAATTGATGTCTCTTCTGCACTGAGAGAACAAAGTGGTTGAGGCAACTAATAAAATGGTCACGAATACCATTTTTGTTAGTAAACTATACTGCAGTTAATTTGATAGTCAGGAATACCATTTATGATAGTAAAAAGTTAAATAGTTGCCGTTACCATTTTATTAGTAAGAGGAACTTACTTCAGTTAGTACCAACAATTAATAAATATTGTAACAGATAACACTTAGTTAGTTAACTTTACTAATAAAATATGTAATTCTATATTAAAAAAAAAACTACTGCAATTATTTATTTAATATTATTCACATTCAAAAAAATCTGTTTATTATAACCCAGTGGGCAAAAAACCATGTTCGTTTTAAAAACGTTTCATGTCTGCCAAATAATATTCTAGAACATTATTTGAACATCTATTTTCTTAAAATATTTCAGAACATTATTTGGCAGACATGAAACTTTCTAAAAACGTTCTTTAAATGTTTTTAAAACGAACATGGTTTTTTGCCCACTGGGAAGGTTAATAAAACTTTCTTGCTGTACCACACAGTTTTCCTAAAAGTATCAAATTGAGACCAAAAATTGCATCAAATCTTTGCAACGTTTTGATGCACATAATTTATATCAAAAAGAGATCGTTTTGTGTATCATTTTTAGAAATGATACAAGAAACGGTCTCATTTTTTGATGCAAAAAATTTAATCAATTTATATCAATCATGGCCGAATTGAATCGACTCAAAATTAAACGAATTTTTTTCAGATATTTTGGTAATAGTACAATTGCGGAGACCATTTCACTATTTAATTTGAAAATGAAAATAACAGAAAATCAAAGACAATGTGCAATTCGATAATTAAAAAGTGACAGCTTATAAACATAACCTAAAATGCATGAGAAAAAATTTGTCGATAAAATCAATATAGCGGAGCTTTTTAGAAGGTAGATGGCAGTTTTGCTTTCTATAAAAACGATTCAGAAAAAATTTAAAGAAGGAAAATAGGTGAGTGCTGCCATCTACCTTCTAAAAAGCTCGGCTATATTGATTTTATTGACAAATTTTTTCTCATGTAGTTTAGGTTATGTTTATAAGCTGTCACTTTTTAATTATCGAATTGCACATTGTCTTTGATTTTCTGTTATTTTCATTTTCAAATTAAATAGTGAAATGGTCTCCGCAATTGTACTATTACCAAAATATCTGAAAAAAATTCGTTTAATTTTGAGTCGATTCAATTCGGTCATGATTGATATAAATTGATTAAATTTTTTGCATCAAAAAATGAGACCGTTTCTTGTATCATTTCTAAAAATGATACACAAAACGATCTCTTTTTGATATAACTTATCTGCATCAAAACGTTGCAATAGAAAAAGATACAACCAAGTTTACTGTGCATGTAAGATATAAATCTTATATTAAACATATTCTTTGTATGATGCGAATAATAATAAATAAATTTTATAGGTTAGATTTATTGATTAAATTGTAACTTACATTCAAAATGATCTACATAATCTTCGAATCCCCCTTAGATTAATAAATTTCGCAAATCCACGCACTTTTTTAACACTCAATAAAATAATTTATATAGAAATAATACAATTATAACATAAACACAAATGACCACGTTTTCTTACGACATTGCTTCACGAGCATGAGCAAGCATGAGTGTGCTTCACAGTGTTGCCAACCGAATTGCTAACAATTGCTAACTGCGTTTACTAAAAATAATGGTAAACCCAACTACTCTGTCAGTTAAACTTTTTCATGGAACTGTTTTGGTAGGTTCGGTTATTATTTCCTGTTGACCAATTCTAAGTAGTTGCGCTTGACATCGAAAATATTAAAATTTACTAAAAACAATACTGAATTTTACTAACTAAATAGAAAGAAGAATAAATACCTCCTGTACTAATAAAAAAAGATTAGTAGCCCCAACCATTCATTTCTCTCACTGTGAATATCAAAGACTGCAATGCAAGAAATTTTTTAGTTCATACGTCATTTAATTTTGTCATCTCGCTGAAAAATTAACTTTATTTATTCAAATAACTTAGTTAATTAATAAATTATGAAAAAAATGTTAGTAACACAAAAATTCCAACAAGTTTAATGTGGAAAATATTCATTCGTTCCAAAAAAATGTGTTACATTGAGTTGTTTTAAAATATTTATTAAACCCTGCTTGATATTACAATAATAGATTCGGTAAGCTTCTTATTATTGGATATTATAAAAAATGTACATATTTAAAGAGACTTATATTAATAAACAAAAATAAATAATATTGAATATTTACGCAATTAAAAATTATAAATATTATTCAATTCTGATAAAAGTATGTAAAAATCGATTAATTAAAAAAATTATTCACAGAATCAATGCGCCAAGTATCTTTTGTATGAGAAAAATCTAAAATTATATTACATTTAATTTCTTAACTTTAGGTAGGTTTTGGATGAGGTCCAATATTAAAATCTGTTAGTGACAATTGTTCTTTGTTAATTAAATTTCTCCTCTCACTGTCAGTCTCTACGCTATTTCTCTGAAAAAAATATTATGTCTACTTTAAAAATTATTTAAAACATTTTTTTCTCCTTTTTTCTTTAATCTAATCAGAATTTTATATACAATACTTTCTTCAATATTCTAAACTGCAATATAGTTAAAAGAATGTTTAAGAAATACTTAAAATTTTGTATAAATATTATCACAGTAAAAATTTTGAGTTCTGTTAAATCAATTTTAAAACTATTAATTATTTTTTTCATTTTTATGAATTGTAATAATACTTTATTTATATTTTGTACTTTACCGGAAGAGATGGTGATTGTTCATCTTGAAACATTGGATTTTCAAATTCACTGCCAACTAATCTCAATTCTCTGTCACGATCTTGAGATAAATTTGCATTACTTGTTCTGAAAGGCAAATAAATAATAAATAAAAGACAAATATTTTAAAAATTAATAAAAATTTAATTATTTTTTAAAATAATTTCATAAATTTGTATCATTCCAAACCTGTTATTATTACTCAATCGTTCCATTAATGATCCAACAATAGAAATATTGGAAAATCTTTTTTTGAAATAAAATTTATAAACAAAAAATCCAAGAAAAATAATTACAACTGGTACAATTCCAATGTAAATATATTTCCTTCGTGAATAATATTTCGTTGGTTTTGAATGATTAATTATTGTTAATTCAGTTTCTGTACTTGTACATGTTCCATTTGTTCTCGAGGGATAACCATGTTCACAAATACACGCTGAATCATCTTTCGTCAAGACGCATATGTGCTCACATTTATGTTCTGCACATCTATCTTTTACTGCAAAAAAAAAGAAGAAATTCATAATTTATTATATTAACAATATTATTATTTTTATATTTTATTTTTATTTATATTCATATTTATTATATATTAATTATTATAATATTATTTTAGTTATTCATTTATTTATCAATATTATAAAAGTATGATTTTTATCAATTAACCTTAGCAGTGAATTAATGATGAATTGTTTAGTCTTTAAAGAAATATATCAAAATCAAAAAATTTATTTATAATTAAAAAACGGAACATAATTATGAAATAATGAATTATTTTTAATTATTTTATTTTTCATTTTGCAAATAAATAATATTAGATTTTGATAAATTTTTTATGTTTTCAATATTTATATTAAAAAATTAATAATAATAAATTTATCAATACCGAAAGGTTGTCGTGATTTTTGCATAATAGTGAAGAATTTGTGAATATCTGACATTCCTGTATCAATTATCTCACATTCTTCTGTATTATTATTATTTAATAGTGGACATTTTTGAATTTTTTCACTAATGCCTGACAACCAATATAAATGGTCTTCGAATATATTTAGTTGCATTGGATGATAAACCTGTAAATTTAACAATAAATTTATCAAATCAAATAATGTAAATGTAAAAAATATCTTTCATTGAGTTATTTATTATTTTTTGCATTTGAACCGCGTAAAGTATTCAAAAATAAATTGTCCTTTTTTGGGAAAAAAAAATTATTTAAATATGAGATGAATCGTATAACCCCAAAAAGAAGGTAATCCCGCCACTGATTCTGATCCAGTGAAAAGCTCCAGTAGTCAAAATTTACCCCATGGATTTATTGAGGGGGACCAAAAATACAAGGAACGAAGGAATGTGCAGAAACTTTGAGGAAAACGTTGCTGAACAATTTAATATTATTCCGCAAGTTTTGGAGAGTATGCGCCAAGCTTGTAAGAAAAATATTAGTATAGACATTTAAGATGAAATGGCTGCTTTAGGGAAGGTGTTCGATATAATTAGCAATAATTTGCGTTTTATTCCCGTTCCCTTCAAATTCTCAGAGTAGCAAAATTCAAACTCTGAAACGCCAGTACATATGCTTCATTGGGCAAAAGATGAAAAAACGTCGCAGAGATGGACGTAGACCAGATGCAAGCCCCCAACCGGCGAATCTAACAGGAAAAAGAGTAAAGCTTTGGAGATGGATTTTAAACCAACAAACGATGGGGAAGCCTCAGGTAAAATCATAAATAAAAAAAGAGGCGTAAAGAAAAAGTCCCCAAAGAAAACAAAAAAAAAAGAGCAACAGAAGCGCCCTTCAAAGCTCAGAACCAACGAGGCAGTCCAGATTTCAGAAAAGAACCCAGAGTGCTACAACGAAATCTTCACAGAAAAAAACTGAACTCAGAATGAGCCGTGTAGGCGGCTCATTTTGATGTGCAACAAAAATGAACCAGGTTGGTGGCGCCACTGTCTATGTCGTTTAGCATTGGCTCATTTTGATTTGCATCAAAAATAAGACAAGGTTTTTTCTGTGTTGAAAGCCACAAAAACTACGGTAAAACTAAAGAAAACTGGTACCGAGATATTAAGCATCAGGAGAACTCAGAAGAATAAGGTTCTTCTAGTAGTAAAGAAAGGAGAAAAAACCTTCAAGTTTGCACAATCAAATACCTCTGCATTGCTCGACAAATCCAAGATTGAACGAAAGCACATTACAACCAACTGTAAATAGAAAAACAAAATCAATGTCTCCATTTCTCAGGTAGAAAATGAGTTAAAAAACTGCCAGAAAACAGATGATACGATTCACTTTTGTTTTTGCCAAAGATTATATCTTAAAAAGTGCAGAAAAAATTCATACCTACATATTTCACTAAAATAAACTGAAAAAAAATTTTTATCTGGAATTCTAAAGTGGAAAATGAGTAGGAAAACTACTAGAAAACTGATGTTACGATCAAGTTTTTTTTGACAAAGATTTTTCCTTGAAAACAACACAAAAAGCCTACATACTTTCTTCCTTGACTAGAATTAAGTAAAAGACAATTTTTGTCTCCCTATCTGAGGTGGAAAATAAGAAGAAAAATTGGTCAATACGAGTTACACTCGCTTACCTAGGGTTCCGTTCAGGATTACTGAAATTTAAATATAATATTTCAAAAGGGTTAACTATATTTTTCGTGAAATCTACACATAAAAAATAAAAATGTGTACGCAGTTTCAGCTTCTTAGGTCCAAAACTGTAAAAGTTAAAGCGGGAAAGGATAAGTTTTTTCATAAATTTCGAATTTTTGAAATATAAAAATATTCAATTCAATTCCAATCGGGATCTATATAATTATCCTTTAATCTACTTGCAAAATTATGTACGTATATCAAATTTAAATATCCCAGATTAAAAACTGTAAAAGTTAAGGGGAGTCACGCTTTTTTCCAAAATTTCGAAAAGGGTTACGTTTAGGTCCACTGCGAGAACAGAACCCTGAAAATTCCCAAGAAATTTAATTTTTCTAAAACAGACAATTTTATTGCAATTTCTTGCACAAAATACACCTAAAAGTGTAGAAAAAAATTGACGGCCAAATCCAAGTAGAGGATGACACATATTACCACTAAAAAGCCATCCAAAATCATAAAAAAGTTGCCAAAAAAATTCAAATTTTCTTAGGCAGACAATTTTAACGCAATTTCTTGCACGAAATACTCCTAAAAGTGTAGCAAAAAATTGAGGGCCAAATCCAAGTAGAGGAAGACACATATTACCACCAAAAAGCCATCCAAAATCATAAAAAAGTTGCCAAAAAAATTCAATTTTTCTTAGGCAGACGATTTTAATGCAATTTCTTGCACAAAATACTCCTAAAAGTGTAGCAAAAAATTGAGGGCCAAATCCCAGTAGAGGAAGAAACATATTACCACCAAATAGCCATCCAAAATCATAAAAAAGTTGCCAAAAAAATTAAAATTTTCTTAGGCAGACGATTTTAATGCAATTTCTTGCACAAAATACACCTAAAAGTGTCGAAAAAAATTGACAGCCAAATCCAAGTAGAGGAAGACACATATTACCACCAAAAAGCGATCCAAAATCATAAAAAAGTTGCCAAAAAAATTCAATTTTTCTTAGGCAGACGATTTTAATGCAATTTTTTACACAAAATACTCCTAAAAGTGTAGCAAAAAATTGAGGGCCAAATCCAAGTAGAGGAAGAAAAATATTACCACCAAAAAGCCATCCAAAATCATAAAAAAGTTGCCAAAAAAATTCAATTTTTCTTAGGCAGACGATTTTAATGCAATTTCTTGCACAAAATACTCCTAAAAGTGTAGCAAAAAATTGACGGCCAAATCCCAGTAGAGGAAGAAACATATTACCACCAAAAAGCCATCCAAAATCATAAAAAAGTTGCCAAAAAAATTCAATTTTTCTAAGGCGGAAGATTTTAATGCAATTTCTTGCACAAAATACACCTAAAAGTTTAGCAAAAAATTGACGGCCAAATCTAAGTAGAGGAAGACACATATTACCACCAAAAAGCCATCCAAAATCATAAAAAAGTTGCCAAAATAATTCAATTTTTCTTAGGCAGACGATTTTAATGCAATTTCTTGCACAAAATACTCCTAAAAGTGTAGCAAAAAATTGAGGGCCAAATCCCAGTAGAGGAAGACACATATTACCACCAAAAAGCCATCCAAAATCATAAAAAAGTTGCCAAAATAATTCAATTTTTCTAAGGCAGACGATTTTAATGCAATTTCTTGCACAAAATACTCCTAAAAGTGTAGCAAAAAATTGAGGGCCAAATCCCAGTAGAGGAAGAAACATATTACCACCAAAAAGCCATCCAAAATCATAAAAAAGTTGCCAAAAAAATTCAATTTTTCTTAGGCAGACGATTTTAATGCAATTTCTTGCAAAAAATACACCAAAAAGTGTCGAAAAAAATTGATGGCCAAATCCAAGTAGAGGAAGACACATATTACCACCAAAAAGCCATCCAAAATCATAAAAAAGTTGCCAAAAAAATTCAATTTTTCTTAGGCAGACGATTTTAATGCAATTTTTTACACAAAATACTCCTAAAAGTGTAGCAAAAAATTGAGGGCCAAATCCCAGTAGAGGAAGAAACATATTACCACCAAAAAGCCATCCAAAATCATAAAAAAGTTGCCAAAAAAATTCAATTTTTCTTAGGCAGACGATTTTAATGCAATTTCTTGCACAAAATACTCCTAAAAGTGTAGGAAAAAATTGAGGGCCAAATCCAAGTAGAGGAAGACACATATTACCACCAAAAAGCCATCCAAAATCATAAAAAAGTTGCCAAAAAAATTCAATTTTTCTTAGGCAGACGATTTTAATGCAATTTCTTGCACAAAATACTCCTAAAAGTGTAGCAAAAAATTGAGGGCCAAATCCAAGTAGAGGAAGACACATATTACCACCAAAAAGCCATCCAAAATCATAAAAAAGTTGCCAAAAAAATTCAATTTTTCTTAGGCAGACGATTTTAATGCAATTTCTGGGACAAAATACACCTAAAAGTGTCGAAAAAAATTGACAGCCAAATCCAAGTAGAGGAAGACACATATTACCACCAAAAAGCCATCCAAAATCATAAAAAAGTTGCCAAAAAAATTCAATTTTTCTTAGGCAGACGATTTTAATGCAATTTCTTGCACAAAATACTCCTAAAAGTGTAGCAAAAAATTGACGGCCAAATCCAAGTAGAGGAAGACACATATTACCACCAAAAAGCCATCCAAAATCATAAAAAAGTTGCCAAAAAAATTCAATTTTTCTTAGGCAGACGATTTTAATGCAATTTCTTGCACAAAATACTCCTAAAAGTGTAGCAAAAAATTGAGGGCCAAATCCAAGTTTAGGAAGACACATATTTCCACCAAAAAGCCATCCAAAATCATAAAAAAGTTGCCAAAAAAATTCAATTTTTCTTAGGCAGACGATTTTAATGCAATTTCTTGCACAAAATACTCCTAAAAGTGTAGCAAAAAATTGACGGCCAAATCCCAGTAGAGGAAGAAACATATTACCACCAAAAAGCCATCCAAAATCATAAAAAAGTTGCCAAAAAAATTCAATTTTTCTAAGGCGGACGATTTTAATGCAATTTCTTGCACAAAATACACCTAAAAGTTTAGCAAAAAATTGACGGCCAAATCTAAGTAGAGGAAGACACATATTACCACCAAAAAGCCATCCAAAATCATAAAAAAGTTGCCAAAATAATTCAATTTTTCTTAGGCAGACGATTTTAATGCAATTTCTGGGACAAAATACACCTAAAAGTGTCGAAAAAAATTGACAGCCAAATCCAAGTAGAGGAAGACACATATTACCACCAAAAAGTCATCCAAAATCATAAAAAAGTTGCCAAAAAAATTCAATTTTTCTTAGGCAGACGATTTTAATGCAATTTCTTGCACAAAATACTCCTAAAAGTGTAGCAAAAAATTGACGGCCAAATCCAAGTAGAGGAAGACACATATTACCACCAAAAAGCCTTTGAAAATCATAAAAAAGTTGCCAAAAAAATTCAATTTTTCTTAGGCAGACGATTTTAAT